GCATAGGTAGCCAAGGACTTCATGACCAAAACACCAAAAGCATTGGCAACAAAAGCCAAAATAGACAAATAGGACCTAATCAAACTCCACAGCTTCTGCATGGCAAAAGAAACAGTCATTAGAGTGAATCAGCAACCAACAGAATGGGAAAAAAATTTTGCAGTTTACCCATCTGACAAACGGCTGATATCCAGAATTTACAAAGAGCTAAAACAGATTTACAAGAAAAAAACAAACAAGCCCATTCAAAAGTGGGCAAAGGATGTAAACAGACACTTTACAAAAGAAGACATACATGAGGCCAACAAACATATGAAAAAATGCTCATCATCACTGGGTTTTATTTTTAGTTCTGTTTATGTGATGAATCTAATTTATTGATCTGCATATGTTGAATCAACCTTGCGTTGCAGGAATAAAGCCTTCTTGATTGTGGTAATATTAGCTTTAAATATGCTATTAGATTTGATTTCCTAGTATTTTGCTGATGATTTGGGTAACTATGTTTATCAAGAATATTGGCCTGAAGTTTTCTTTTCTTGTTGTTGTGTCTCTGCCAGATTTTGGAATAATGCTGGCCTCATAGAATAAGTTGGGGAGGAGTATCTCCTTTTTGATATTTTGGAATGATTTCAGGATTGGTACTAGCTCTTTTTTTTAAATCTGGTAGAATTTGGCTGTGAAACCATATGGTCCAGGGCTTTTTCTGATTGGTAGATTTTTTATTACTGATTCAATTTCAGAACTTGTGAATTACTTTTTTATGAGACAAGGTCCTATTCTGTTGTCCAGGATGGAGTGCAGTGACATGGTCATAGCTCACCAAAGCCTCAAACTCCTGGGCTGAATCAATCCTTGCATTCAGCCCCCTCAGAGTTCTATTTTTAATGGCCATGCTAAATATATAGGTAGTTTACACAGCTTGATTACAGTATTAAAATATATTGAGTTTGACTGTACATTATTTTTATCAGTGAGTTTTATACCTTCATATTTTTTATACTACTTAATAGTTTCCTTTTAATTTGAAATGTTCCCTTTAACATTTGTGAGATAGGTCTGGTGGTAATAAACTCTCTCAGCTTTCATTTGTATGCAAAAGTCTTTATATATCCTTCAACACTCAAGTATTGCTTTTCTGGATACAGTATTCTTGGCTGCTAGGTTTTTTTCTTTAGTATTTAAATATCTCATCCCAACTCCTTCTTGCCTATAAGGCTTTTTCTGTTTGTTTTGGGAAGGCTGCTGTCAGGTATATGGGAACTCTCTTGTATGTTACTTGTTTCTTTTCTCTTGCTCCTTTCAGGATCCTCTCTTTGCCTTTCATTTTATACAGTTTAATTATACTATATCTTTTGGCATTATTGTTGGGATTGCACCTGACTTGGTGCCTTTTGTGCCTGAGTGTATGTATCTCTCTCTAGGTTTGTTAAGTTTTCTGTTATTTTTTAAATAAGTTTTATAATGCTTTATCCTTTTCTACTCCCTTCTAAACCCAAATAACACAAATATCTTCTTTAAATGCTGTCCCATAAATCTTACAAACTTTCATTGTTCCTTTTAATTCTGTTGTTTTTTCTTCTCTGAGTATTTTTAAATAGCCTGTCTTCCTAACTCACTGATTCTTTTTTCTGCTTCACCTATTTTTGGTAATGATGCTTTCAACTGAACTTTATTTTATTCATTGTATTTTTCAGCTTCAAAGTTACTATTTGATTTTTATCATCATTTTAATCTCTATGTTAAATTTCTCTGACAAATTTTAAAATTGTCTCTAAATTCTCTTTAAGTTAACTGAGCTCCCTTAAAAACAGGTAGTTTGAGTTATTTCTCAGGCAGATCATAGATCTCCATCTCTTTAGGATCATCGATTTGCATCTTATTTCATGCCAGTGATGTCAGTTTCTCTGGTTGTTCTTGATTCTTATGGTCATGTTTCAATGTCTGTGCATTGGATAAAATAGGAATGCATTGCAATCTTTGCAGCCCGGCTTTTCTGTGGTTGCCCTTCTACAGTAGGCCTGTTTAGGACTATTGAGAAAACTGTTGTGGTTCCTAAGCCTGTGACTGTTGAAGTCATTGTCAGCACCACAATGACTTCAGCTGTTACAGGCTTAGGAACCACAAGGTACATAGTTGCTGATGTTTCTGGTTCAGAATTCTTATTATGGGAGGATATGAATGGGTAGCCCTTCTGTATTTTGGATGATGTCACTCTAATTCTTGAGTTATCTGAGCTGAGGCTCAAAGATTAATCTCTACAAATGTATTTTATTTTCAGTGAGAATTTGTCTTTATTTCTGCCATACCCTTCTTAGAAAAGTATTTCCTTTAATCTTCATAAATCAAGGCTGAGACACACTTTTTTTTCTTGATGTCCACTTTTGTTAGGCTGGCTTTCTTACACTTTTTTTTTCAGAATCTGAACCCTCAGCATTGCCTCCAGTCTATTTCCTTACCTGTTCAGCCTCAAAGTCCAATGCACAGTGGTTTCTCAATTTTAAACTTCTATTTCTAGAAGCTCTAGGCAATAAATATATAGATGTTCTCAGAGAGGGCAATGGTTCAGTGCTGGTTTACCTTCCTGGAATAGAACTAAAGCTTTATATTGGGCCTCAGGTGTGATTTTACTTTTTAAAAAATAGCTTTAAGTAATTTAAAAGATGTTTTAAATAAGTTTAGCAAATATAGATGCTGAGTGTGCTATACTGACAGATACAAAACTCTTACACAGTATTTTATCAACTAGAATATAATCCTTTCTACAAATGGATGCATATTTTACCTTTTAAATGATTGAAATTTCCTTAATTTGGGGTGTGTTATAATGTATGCCTGTGAAGTTTCTTGTTACTGTAGTTTACTATGTAGCAAAGAGTCCAATATAATTTGTAATAGCAAGTATTCTAAACTTGCTGTATTTCGATGAGATTGGGTCCTTTGTGGGGCCATGGATGAACCTAGAAACCATCATTCTCAGCAAACTGACAGAGGAGCAGAAGATCAAACACCGCATGTTCTCACTCATAGGCGGGTGTTGAACGATGAGAGCACATGGACACAGGGAGGGGAGCACTACACACTGGGGTCAGTTGGGGGGAAATAGGGGAGGGACGGTGGGGGGTGGGGAGCTGGGGGGGGATAACAGGGGGAGAAATGCCAGATGTAGGTGAAGGGGAGGAAGGCAGCAAATCACACTGCCACGTGTGTTCCTATGCAACAATTTTGCATGTTCTTCACATGTACCCCAAAACCTAAAATACAATAAAATAAATGGGAAAAAAAAAAACTTGCTGTATTTCTTCTCTTCCATTTGCTCTAAATTTATTATGTATTTAATTCTTTTTGCATTTAATTACAGAGCTCTAATTCCTGTAATTTCATTAGGGAAATATATGAGTACCATATGCCTTGTGTACTTATCTTCTCAACATATCACATCTCATGGTAAAGAATACCTTGTAAAACAAATATTTATTGTGATGTTCTCCATAGTAGTAAGTTAAATCGAATATTATAATTCTAGAATATAGTTATTTCAATATGTATGACCTACTTTTCTTTTTTCAATATGTATGAACTACTATGTATCAATCTGTTCTAGGTGCTTGACATCTATAGAACTCACAGGCTAAAACAAAGCACATATTAATCTATAATTACACAAGCAATAATTACCATAATATATGAGAAGGATGGAATTGTAGTATGCCATAAATGAGTAAAACAGGGAAATCTAAATTGGCCAAGAACATGTAGGAAAAGTGATCTAAAATATAATATTTCATCTGGGTCTTCTGAGAGCTTGTTAGCTGGATGAAGAGGAGATGAAAGATTATTTTATTTTAAGTAAAGGGAAGAGTTTAGAAAAAGTCCTTAGTTAACAAGATGTCTGGTGTTTTGGAGAACTTGAAAAAAGGACAATGTAACTCTACTATTATGGAAAATAAGAGATTGGAGTAAAATTCCAGAAGCATGCCATGTTATGAAGGCCAGTTAAGAATTCGAACCTAAGTCTTCATGCCATAAAATAGTTTTAATAGTTTAATTGAGAATTACATTTGTATAATCTCACTCTGGCTACTTGTAGAGAATGCATTGAATAGAGGGAAGGATTTATGTAACCGTCTTAGGATTAGTTACAAAGCTCTATCACCTAGCACAAGCAAGAAATGATCGTGTCTTTCATTAAGAGAAAATATGTAAGCTTAACCATCAATGCATACTATTTCAAATTTTGAATACACTTCTCACTTCCCTCTCCAACATGCACAAACATCAGATTTAGATTGTAACTGCAAAAAGGGTTAGAATTCTAACAGAAGAAAATATAGCTGTAATTTTATGTAAAGCCCTTAGAAAGGTAAAGCTACATGGTGTATTACACAAAATAAAAAGGCTTTTGCTTTTACTTTTATTTATTGAAGTTTGAAAGTCAGCTGTGTATACTTACATTCCTCAGAACATTTGGTTTCAAGGACTATTCTTTGTAATTCTATTGAAATTGTTCTTCCATTGGCCTTTTTTCTTCTGGCATCTTATAATCACTGTACTGTTCAATTTGTGGACTCATTCTTGTTTTTTGCCTCCATTGATTCAAGAAATTAGAATTGTTTTTCTCATTAACGTTATTTAATTTATGACATGTTCATGGTACCTCATTTAATAGAATAACATTAATTATCAATATACATTAAAATAATCTCAAAATATTTATATATTCATTTGCAGTTGTTTCTTAGTAATGAAATATTGCATGTATATCATTAAAATATTCAATAATCTTTTTATGTCTATTTATGTCTATTTTTATGTCTATTTTGCTGCAGATCTCTAATTATCCTTAGGTTTATTAAAAAAGTCTTAAACGTAAAATTTAATTTAGTATTGTTTATATTGATTATGATTACAACATAAGAAAAGTGAAATGATACATTATACATAATCTATTCAAACTATCTTATCATAGTATTTAAAAGTTAATTATACAGTGCTAACATCTAGAAGTTCTGTGCAGAGCTAACATGTTGGAGCCATAATTTTCTCATGGCCGCTTGCATATTCTTATTTCTCAGAGTGTAAATAATTGGATTGAGTAAGGGTGTGATAACCGTATAAAATACAGCAAGAGTTTTATTACTTGCCAAACTACTGAATGGCCAGGCATAGATAAAAATACAGGGTCCAAAGAACAGAGTGACCACAATAATGTGGGCAGACAATGTGGACAGAGCCTTGGAGAGCCCATCTGAAGATTTTTTTGGTACACTGACCAGGATGACAATGTAAGAAACAAGCAAGAGGATGAAACAGGTAAAAGAGAGCAGCCCGCTGTCAGCAATGACAAATAATTCCAGGGTGTATGTTTCAACGCAAGCAAGCTTGATCACGAGGGGAAGATCACAAAATATGTTGTTTATGACATTGTGGCCACAGAAAGGCAAGTTCACTGTTAAAACTATCTGGCTCATGGTGTGTATAAAACCAATTATCCATGAAAGTGTCACAAACCCCTTTAGCAGCCTGTGGCTCATGATTATCCTGTAGTACAGGGGTTTACATATGGCTACATACCTGTCAAAGGCCATGATTATCAGAAGTGTCATCTCAGCACCCCCAAATAAGTGCATAAAGAACATCTGGATCATGCAGCCCCACACAGAGATGGCCTTGTGTTCAGTGAGCAAATCTATGATCATCTTGGGTGTTGTGGCAGTGGAGAGACACATTTCCAAGGAAAAAGTACATGGGAGAATGAAGGGTTGAACTACATGTCACTGTGACCATAATGAGAATGTTTCCCACCACAGTAGCACTATAGATCAAGGAAAATGTCACAAAGAAGAAAATTTGAAGTTCCCATCGTCCAGAAAATCCTAGTAAAATAAACTCAGTCACTAGAGATCCATTTTTAAAATCCATTTACTCAACTCAGAAAGGTTTCAGAAGTTCTTCACATACAAAGAGAATTAAAAAATAAGTCACAGTTAAAATCAATATTTTCTTATTTCTATTAGTTGATAATAGTTGATGATATGAGATATATAATTTTAAAAATATCAATACAGCAATATTTAAAATTTGAGATTAGCTTATGTATTATATCGCTTTGAAACAATATTTCTATAGATATGCAATAATTACAAAACATTTGAAGAAGTCCAAGTTCCATTTTCTATTGTCTTATTCCATCAGATAATACTCTTATTAATGGATCTTGACTTTCTTACTAATTTGTTCACATATGAAGATTAGATACTAATTGCTATTATTTTTGCCTTTTATTATTATAGTATTCTGCACCTGCACTTCTTGAGTTTATGTTATCCAAATATATAAGGAATACAAGATTTAGAAAATAAAGAATTACATTGTTCTATATTTCTGAAGTAATTTATGAAAGCTTTTCTACGGTTCTAAACCAAACAAGCAAACAAAAAAAATTAAGTGAGCACGCACACACACACACACACACACATACACAAATCAAAAGCTAATTATACATGAAATAAAATATCTAAATTTATTAAAAACAATTTCTTTTTAATATACAAGCATACCTCCTTTTATTATGTTTCAATATATTGTGCTTTGCAGTTATTCAATGTTTTATAAACTGAGGGTATAAACTGAGATTGCTGACAACCCTAGGTCCAGCAAGTCTGCTGGCGCCACTATTCCAACAGCATGTGCTCACTTTATGTCTCTGTGTCACATTTTGGTAATTCCCAAAATATTTATTTCAAATTTTATTATTATTGTTATACATGTTCTTTAATCTGTAACCAGTAGTCTTTTATGTTACTATTTTAATTATTTTGGGTCACCACAAACTGTGCTCATGTAGAATGGCAGACAATTGATAAATATTGTTTCTAACTGCTCCACCAAACTACTCTGCCCTTATCTTTCTCAATTTCTTCAGGTCTCTCTATTCCTTGAGACACAACAATATTGGAATTAGGCCAGTAAGTAGCCTTACAATGGCCTCTAAGTGTTCAAGTAAAAGGAATAGTTTCATGTCTTTTACTTGAAATAAACTAAGAAAAAATCCTGGAGACAGTAAAAGGATCAATGGGTTCCAGAGGTTAGAATGAAGGGAGAAAACAAGAAATGGGAAAAATACAGAGGATTTACAGGGTGGTGAAACAATTCTGTATCTACTCGACTTGGAAATACACAATATATTTTTCAAAACCCACAGCACGCATAACATCAAGAATAAATCATAATGTAAACTACAAATTGGGGAGATAATGTGGCAATGTAGGTTCTTAAGTATAATGTATGTACCACTCAGGTTCAGGTTTTTAATGGTGGGGAAGACCATATGTGGCATCAGAGGGCATATGGGAACTCTCGTACTTCCTGCTAAATTTCCCTGTGAACTTAAAACTGCTTCGAACAATAAAATCTGTAAAAAAGCTCTTTAGGACAGAAGTTATAAAGCTTAGTGAGAAGAGTATGTCTAAAGCTGAGACAGGATAAAACTAGGCCTCTTGCACCAGTTAGTCAATTGTGAATGCAAATAAAAAATTCTGAAAGGAAATTAAATGTGCTACTCTAGTGATCTCATGAATGATAACAAAGTGAACCATCTTGATTGCTGATATGGAGAAACTTTTAGTGATCCACATAAAAGTTCAAATCAACTACAACATTCCCTTAAGCCAAAGCCTAATCCAGAGTAAGACCCTAACTCTCTTCAATTCTATGAAATCTGGGAGAGGAGAGGACATTGCAGAATAAAAGTTTGAAGCTAGCAGAGGTTAGTTCATGAGGTTTAAAGAAAGAAGCTATTCTCATCACATAAAACTACAAGGTGAGATAGCAAGTGCTCATATAGAAGCTGCAGAAAGTTATCTAGAATATCTGGCTAAGATTATTGATAAAGATGGCTGCACTAAACCACAGATTTTCAATACAGATGAAATAGCTTTCTATTGGAAGGTGATGATGTCTAGGATTTTCATAACTAGAGAAGAGAAACCAATACCTGATTTCAAAACTTCAACAAACAGGGTGATTCTTCTTTTAAAGGCTAATGTAGCTGCTGACTTGAGGCCAGTGCTTATTTATCATTCAAAAAATTCTAGGCCTTTATGAATTATGATAAATCTACTCTGCCTTTCCTCTGTAAATGGACCAGCAAAGCCTGGATAGCAGCACATTTGTCTACAGCATGGTTTACTGGATATTTGAAGACCACTACTAACAATTACTGCCCAGAAAAAAGATTCCTTTGAAAATATTACTGCTCATTGACAATGCACCTAGTTATTCAAGAGCTCTGCTGGAGATATGCAAGGAGATTAATGTTGTTCATGTGCCTGCTGATTTAACATTCATTCTGCATTCCATGGAGCAAAGAGTAATTTTGATTTTCAATCTTAGTATTTAAGAAATTTTGTAAGGCTATAGCTGCCATAGACAATCATTCCTGTGATAGATTTGGGCAAAGTAAACTTAAAACTTTCAGGAAATAATTCACCATTTTAGATGCCATTAAGAACATTCATGATTCATGAAAGGAGATCAAAATATCAACATTCACAGGAGTTTGGAAGAAGCTGATTCCAACACTCATGGATTACTTTGAAGAGTTCAAGACTTCCATGGAGAAAAATTTCCACGAAGAAGACTTTCCTTGGAGAAAGTAATTGCAAATATGGTAGAAACAACAAGAAATCTAGAATTAGAAGAGAGTCCTGAAGATGTGACTGAATTGCTGCAATATCATGAAAAAACTTTAACATCTGAGAAGTTGCTTCTTATGAATGAGCAAAGAAAGAGTTTATTGGGGGGTTGGGAGAAATGGAACTTACTCCTGGTAAAGATGCTGTGAACATTGTTGAAATGACAGCAAAGGATTTAGAATATTCCATAAATGTAGATGATAGCAAGGTTGAAGAGAATTGGCTCGATTTTGAAATAAGTTCTAATGTGAGTTAAATGGTATCAAACAGCATCACATACTATAAATAAATAGTTTGTGAAATGAAGAGTCAATTGATATGGGAAATTTTATTATCTTATTTTAAGAAATTGCCACATCCATTCCAACTGTCAGCAACCAATACCCTGATGAGTCAGCACTCATCAACATTAAAGCAAGACTGTCAACTGGCAAAAAAGATTACACCTTGTTAAAGGCTCAGATAACCATGAACATTTTTAAAAAATTAGGGTATGTATTTTTTTTAGCTAAAAATGCTATTACATACTTAATAGACCACAGTAAAGTATAAACATAGATTTTATGTGTACTAGGAAACCAAAAAAACTGTGACTCACTTTATTGTGAAATTGACTTTATTGTAGTGGTCTGAAACCAAACCAGCAATATCTCTGAGGTATCCTTTACTGAGGATTACAGGAAACACGGACTCAGCTTCAGTTCTTTTAGAGCTTGTTTTTTTTTTTTTTAAATCCTCTGTGTTACCATTGTTCAAAGTGAAGAACTTGTGTATTGTCCATGTGTGTATAGATGTGGTGGTTTAGAAGTAAAGAGTAAAGTGATTTAGTCTTAATGTATTGTTTCCATTTGGGTGTGAAGTTGTTTAATACTAAATCATCTTTACTCCGTTTTTTAGACAGTGTTCATAGGATCTAGAGTGATCGAAAGTGGTCAACAACAATTAAGCGATTAGTTTGTGCCAGGCTCCATTCTAAGGGTTTCATATACATTAATTTATTTAATTTTCATGACAATACCATGATGTAAGTACAATTTTTGTCTTCATGTTGCATGTAAGGAAACTGTGACATTCAAATAGTTAATGACTTATTCATGGGTACACAGCTAACATGGATGAGAGCTAGTATTGAAGCTGAGTTAGTTTGACACCAGAATTTGGGCTTATATCAATATACCATATTGTCTCAGAAATTAAATACTATAAGCAAATTAAATTGCCATATCTTTATGACAAAAGTGTCAATTATTGATTGAATTCAAATGTTCCATACAAATGGGTTTGGGGATCTGATTCAACAAGCATGTTGGGATCCCTCTCTGTTATGATTAACTGAATTATTTTTTCATACAGAATGAATCAATGCCCCATATCTAGAGACTTTACAATCTAGAGAGACATTAATTATCAAACAAAAAGTAGCAAATGAGCCATGTAAGAAAACACGTAATTTGGTACAAGGTATATGCAAAATGTCATAAGAGGTTTAGAAAAATAGATATCAATTTCAAGTGACGCTTTTATTATATATGACTTCAGGCATGGTTTATTGTTTTCAAAACACTTAAAAAATTTTTTTTACAGTAAATAAAAAAGGATGAGGAGTAGAAAATGTGTGAGCAACTATACAAGGAAAAGAATGAAGAGCAGTGCATAGGAAGAGTGATATATTCAGAAAGGACACTAGATTAAGATATTTAGATGAATAGGAAATGCCTGGGTTCTCCAATGACCTGTAATTCTCTCCTTATTTACATTCTTCCTCAGTTTTTTGTCAAAATACTGTATTATCATCATCCAAACATAACTACCTCAATTGTTTCCCTGTCTTAGATATTTTTAAGAAATGGGTAATAGTTGCAAATCAGAGAAAATAAAGATAAAGATGATGTAATGCAGTTTCTGTAGGTCAGCCTGCAGGAACACACTGAAGGTACTCAATGACAGGTGTGGCCCTGGAGGAGCCTGCACGGATGGCCACACCTTCTTTACAGGGTTGTGTTGCATGCTTGTCATGTAAATGAGCAAGAATTTTGCTTTTGAGACTTTTGTAACAGTAATAACAATAACTAGATACTCTTGGGAAAATAACAAGGGTTGACAATTGCTCGGCAGAATGAAGATACCAGCTATAATTTGAGGGTGAATAACTTTGCTCTGTGGGATTTTATGCTTTTTGATGCACTGACAATAGAAACACTTAGGTAAGAAGTCAACACAATTAAG